ATTACTAGATTACGTTATGACATTCAATAATAAATGAATGTATTACTAAAATATGCAACTAATTCAATGTGATCGATGGGTGATTTTTAAACTGTGAAGCCGCAAGCCCATCGGCCATAAGGTAAACTTGAAAAAAAATATCAATGGGAATTTTAGCATTTCAACATGAACTGCTTACGATGTAGAGCATCAAACAAAATACGAACCCAATCTTCGCGACTGAAAATCAGTACAATTTGATGCACTTGACACTTCACCAAAAACCTTCCTACCCGGCATCCATGCTTCAACGTCGAATTTACGAGCCGCCGGGGCGCCTAATTCTTCAGTTGGCATATCCAGTAATCTTAATTTGCACTATTGAAATGCACATCACCATTCATACCCTCTTGAAATACGCATCAATGATATCTTTAGAATCAGCTACAGTTGCAATGGAAACCGCGACTTTCAGAACACCGATCTGATGATGTTTGCAACTACTGAACCTTGCAACAAGAAACACTCTTCAAGAGTATCTTCTCGGAAAGCATCTTCTCTATTTGATAACACATTTAAGAGTATCTGACTATGTCTTAATCTTCGTCAATCAAGATGTTTCTCATCTACGAAATGTTTGTTAATCCTCTCACAGATTTTCGGAAATATCACAGAAAATGCAAGCAATCGAATAGCGTCATCGAACCTGCAGTGCAAACCAAGCGATTCAAATATTTCGCATTGCAAATTAACAAATTCATCCAGAATACCATCACTCTGCTTATCGTCACAAACCGCATACATTTCAATCTTAATTAAACCGTACTTATTGTTAGAGCACACCATTAATTCAGCTTATGGCAAATCCGTCAGAGATATAATTCTTTCAATCACACACAAATGGCGAATGCACCATCTCTATATATCAATCTCATAGCAGCATAATTCGTTGTAACCTTTGTGAACTCATGAACCCGATACAGTCGTGCTTCCCAAGCATTTTTTGAAACCTCCGGTCGATAGCATCGGCTCATTGCTGTGAATCGTAGAGGCAAATCGCTCTTGCGAAAAA